AAATTTTTAAAAAAAAAAAAAAAAAAAAAAAAAAAAAAAAAAAAAAAAAATGGTAGCAAAATTCAATGTTGAAATATGTTAAGCAAGTTGTAATAGAATGATATTTTTGCTAAAGGAATATCAATTTTAATATTATCAAAAATTATATAATCGACAAAATGTATAACTTTTTATAAAATACTTTGTTTGCCATTAATACCCCTTTTTATATCAATAATATTGCGACACATATATAAATGGCATTGTACTGTAAAATTACAGTAAAATCATAACACGCTATATGGAAACCAGGAAACTGTCTCTCATCATTTATTGTTAGTATCGTATAATCTATCACATCCACGCCTATTGGTAACTAGGGTACTTTAATGATTCACAATGATTTCCTCAAGCTTTCTCCAGCGCGCAAATCGCCCGCGTGCCGTGTTCGCAATTTACGAAAAATCTCGTGAAATGCGTTGCACGACGGGGGTCCAGATACGGTTCGGAGGATATTCGCGTGGGAATACTGGTTCGAGAACTATTGCTCCGAGTTTGTTCCGCACGTGTCTCGGTAGACACCGATAAGACTGTTTCTCTTTCCTTTTTTTTACGATATTGAACGGACATTTCGACAAACGTAAAAACAAAATTGTCGCAAGAAGCAAGAACGTGTCTCGCAGCGATAGAATTATCGGAGATTTACGGCGCGCGGATGATTTATGATGAGAAATCCTGAAAAATTTCTCGTCTCATCAACCGCGGTATTTATGCGCCAACCAGTTACTGGACCAGTTTTATACAGCGTGGGTTAAGGGTCAGTACACCGAAGTGATTGGCAACTACATCGGCCAAAGTGTATATGTATGTGTGTCTCTATCGATTTAAAATATTATCCTAGCTAATGAGATACTTGTGTTGCTATAAATACTTGAGTTTGTTCCATGTAGAATGGTTTAAGAATTGTTTTAGCTTGAATGATCTCTAATCATTTCTATGCGTTTATATAAGTATCATAATAAAAGCACAAATAAAAAAATCGACAAGTAGAATCAGTATTGTTTCTAAAAAAAATCTTATTTATGGAGATTTTTATTAAAAAATATATACGCACATATATATACATATATACATATTTACAAAATTATTTAAAAATTATAGTCATATCTGATTCAAGCAAAAATCGCATTAAATATATTTTTTGTATAATGTAAATAGTTGACGATAAAATGCATAATAAAATCAGCAACATCCCGATGCATAACGATCAAAGGCGCCGTCGCGTGACGCGAGTTACAAGGTTTTGGCCGAAGGGTGATAAATCCTGAATGAATTATCGCATCAAACGCTCGCATGTCTACGGCTCTCTTAAGCGCTTCCGAAATCTTAGCTGCGATCTCGGGATGGTTTCCATTCCTAACAACACCACGTAGCCCTTAACGCGACGTTGTGTTATCGTGATCGTTTGTTACGTTCGTATATCTGTCTGTTACTCGCGTAGATTTTCACCGATGATGACGACGACGATTTCCTTTAGCGTCTTTACGAACCTAACGAGCATGCCTTCCCCGCGACATGTGACTGTATTTTGTGTTTATGCGAGAGCAAGTTGCAGAGGCATTCCTTCGGCAAGCCGACAACTATTGGCCCCGTAAATTTTATGAATCTCGTAATTCACGTCAGGTTTATTAGGCCAATAAAATCTACATGACATTTAAGTTCAATACTTATGAGAATAAAGATTATATATGTTTCAATTTTCTTTCTATTAAATACAAAATGCTGTATATTGTGGTACATGGGTTTCGTGTAATATTACAAGCCTGCATATAATATTATAAATTTCATAGAACTTATGTAATTGGTTCATTTCTAAAATTTAAAACAGATATATGTATAACTGTTCGATTCTTTAGTAAATACAAGAAATAAAATTTAACAGAAAGGAACATTGTAGAAAATACTTTAATTTAATTTTGTCAAAAATAAATAACATTATTTATTTTATTTAACTTCATGAAATATTAACTAGAAATTAATATTTTTTGTGTGTTTA